ACCTCCATCAAACTAAAGCAGGAAAGGGAAAAGGAGATGGAATGTTGGCCGACATTGCTATTCATCAGTGAAGCTATCACAAGTGAAGAATGAGGTTTGAACCTTCTGGTTTAAATCATACTTATGGAGTACAGTTTTTTTTTTTTTTTTTAATATTGGAGCCAGAAGGGACTCTGAAGATCACATGGTTAAATTTCCCTTATTTTTCAGACAAAGAAGCAGAATCCCAAAGAAGTGAGCTGACACTGATGAAGGTCAAACTGATCAGGTCCCTTTTTCTCTATTGTTCAACTCACAGCAGCCTGGCTCAGATTTTCATCATCTTTGTTTCTTACTACCAGTAATAAAAATTTTTGGTCTTATTTATTCTGATAATTTTGAGATGAATCACATTTAAGCCTCTTTTAGACCATCAGCTATATCTAATTTATTTTTTAAATCTCTAATAGTGTCTTGAACATAGTAAGTTCTCAATAAATATTATTGAATGCATGAATAAATCTAGAAGCACACTGTTTAGTAGACTAAACAATATATACATATATATGCATATACGTGTGTGTATACACATATTAAGTAATGGCTATAGAATTTTTAGTTCTTATTTTACTTATCTCATAGATCTATATACATCACATAAACAAAATCATAAAGCATATTTTATATATTATATATTATTTCTTTTTTCAAAACTGACTTCCAGATGGTTAGGTGCTACGATCCTTAGATTTATTTGAACTGGCTGTTCTAAATAAACTGAATTGTTCTATGATGTAGACTGTTACCTTTATATAAACTTTATCTAATATTACTTGCTCTCAAACTCTCAAATTCAACCAAATTCCCTCATAGATACCTGAGCTATTTTGGAGAGTATAGGCAAAATTCTACATATGAGAACTGTCCTTCTATAAAAACTAAGGGCAGAGAAGCCAAGATTCTTATTGAAGTTGGTTCCCAGGCTCCCTACCTCCCAAGGGAGGCATTATTAGAGAAGCTTCTGTATTTACCTATTTTATATATTTATTTTACTTTATTTTTTTATTTTTATTTTTTATCTTTTTTTTTTATACTTTAAGTTCTAGGGTACATGTGCATAACGTGCAGGTTTGTTACATATTTATACTTGTGCCATGTTGGTGTGCTGCACCCATCAACTCGTCAGCACCCATCAACTCATCATTTACATCAGGTATAACTCCAATGCAATCCCTCCCGCCTCCCCCCTCCCCATAATAGGCCCCGGTGTGTGATGTTCCCCTTCCCGAGTCCAAGTGATCTCATTGTTCAGTTCCCACCTATGAGTGATTTTTGATAGTAACATTTCAAAATCATTGAAATGCTATTCATTGCTTTTGGAAGGTCACCACTCAAATCAAATGGTCAACATTCTATCATCTGAATAAGTCAGTCCTTAGAATTGTAAATACCTTTGAGGTGCATTATGTATTTCAGGTTCATGATTCATCTGCTTTGGGGAAAAGTATTATTTCCTGGCACATGTTCAAATGCTGTAATTTAAGACATTTATAGTAAATTATTATACCACTGTCACAAATGCAGTTGATATGACCCCAGGAATTATGCCTGGGGAATAGTTGACTCATCTAGTTGGATCTGGCTCATTATTCTTTGACATGCTAAAGAAAAAGAAAAAAAAACAAAGAAAAAATAACGCTTTAAATTTTTTTGTCAAATACCTATGAAACATAGGAATAGTGAGCTGAAATGTAAGTTAAAGAAATAATGTAAATGACCAAGCAGAGAGGATCAAATTGTTAAACTTCTTTAGAGGTGTCATTTAAACATTTGGCCTAGGAAGTGTCAGACGAAACGTTGTTACAAAACAACTAAAGAGCAACTCTGACCTAAAAGAGAGCCCCTTTCTGCTTCTAGGTTCTGAAGACCCAACTTTTGCCCTCCTCTTCCCACCCTCTTAACCATTTCCCATCATAAAATTCTTTAAAAGTGTTGGTGTAAATCTGTTACTGAAAAACATAACGTCTACAGCATGCTTCCAGAATCTATCTCATTTTTATTTCCCTCATGGTCCTTTTCGTGATCACCTGGGTGATTATAGTTGTCTTGTTTGCACTGTTGTTAGATTAATAGCTTCCATGAGGCTTTTGCATGAGGCATAGACAGTTAGTGTTGACATAATCTTGAAGTTAGTCAAATATTGGCCCAGAGATGGAATCTGTGGTGTGTAGGGACCAAAGTGCCTCCAAGAGATATGGTCTGAGCTTGTGAAAGAACTGTGGAGGTTCTGAGCTGACACAAATGGCATACGATAAGACAGGCTGGATAGGATTCTTAGATACATAATCCCATTTCTGGGGTATTCAAATTTAAATTTTCCCACACTCTTCCTGGGGTCTCCTTAATCAGGGTTGACCCAAAGCTGCATTAGACTCTACATGACTCATGCTTCAGACCCAAGCCAAGATCTGAGATTTTTAAGAAAAGAAGTAATTGAATTATACCCTTTAGGGCTGCTTCTTAGCAGAGGAAAATCACAGAAGGTTGTATCCTTTCCAGGACACCTTCCCCACATGCTACACACACACACACACACACACACACGCGCGCGCACACACACACACAGACACACCTTTGAGAACCGTCACCACGGTGATTTATTAATAGTGTGTTATATCTTTAAGTACTTAGGATTAGATAAAAATTAAGAACTACTGATTAAAATTTCTTATTTAATTTTAGGTGTGTGCTGATAGTTATGTAGGTACAGTTACATCCATATTTATAGTATAACAAAAGTTGATGGCAGCAGGAAAAACAATGAAAAAATCTACAGAGACTCCAGAATAAATACATTTTGTATGGACTAGCTTTAATATTAATAAATCAATTAAATTAGATTTTTACTCATATTTTTATATTGCTTAGATTTATAAATTAATTTCTCTCTATTAAGGAGACATCTCTGTTTTTACATCTCCATTTTACTCTTTGAACAGAATTGAAATATAATCCAGAACCTTGTCTAAGAATATTTTAAAAATGTAAATGTAGAGGCCTTATATTCCAAACTTTTAACTTATTAAATATACTGATTATAGATATATAAGTAGTACATTGGTACAAATTCAGTCTTTAATTTTCAAAGAAAGTTGTGACATAGGAATTATATAATAATTGGGAACAGAATTTAATATTTTGATATACATTATTTTTTTTTTCTTTTCTTGCTTCTAATATCTTTCTTGACATTTTTGTGTGTGTGTGTTCTCTTCCTGTCACCCAGACTGAGCTGTAGTGGTATGATCATAGCTCACTGGAGCCTCAAACTCCTGGGCTCCAGTGATCCTCTCACCTCAGCCTCCTGAGTAGCTTGGACTACAGATGTGCACCACCTGCCCAGCTAATTGTTAAAAAACCTTTTTGTAGACGTGAGGGCTCTCACTATGTTGCTCAGGCTGGAAAAATTCTTTTTAAGTATTTTCTAGATGTAAGCTAAAAGTCTATAGGTTGTCATTAAATGATTTGTACCTTGTTTTATTAGCAAAGTTAGCCAAATTCTACCTTGTAGATAATAAACCATGATAGTTATGTCCATACATTTATTCTTTCACCTTCTCTGGTCGCCTAAATCCCTTTTTCTGAACTGCCTGTCTGCCCCTCCAATCCCAGCCCAGTAAGCTATGATCGTACCACTGTACTCCAGCCTGGGTGGCAGAATAAGGCCCTTTTTCTTAAAAACAAAAATTGTTGAGAACTTCATTTCTAACCCTTGCTGACTCTTTTGAAAATAAACCTTGTTGGACTCTAATCGATCACCTAGAATATGTTTCTACTAGTGGAGAAAGTCTTGAAATGTATCTCCTATTTTGCTTAGTGATCTTTATGTCTGAACAGCAGCATGAGAAGAGTAGTGTGCTGTGTGAGTGTGTATCTGTGGGTTTTTCCACATATCTTATATGTAAATTGCAAATAAAGGAACTAAAATTTTAAAGATGAGTCAAGGATGAGATAATGGTACGTGGGCATGATGCTAGGAAGAAAAAAATTAGCATCCTAAAGTTAAGATAATGCCACCATTTCAGTAAGAATAAAAATAATTCTTTTAAAGAATAGTATCTCTGGTTTATTTCCTCATTTCTACCTTTTACTTCTCTCTAAATAATTTCAGAGATCATATTATAAAAGACATATGATGTAGGATTAACAAAACAGGATTAGAAAAAGTATATAAAAAGTATTTACAAAGGAGAAAGCTGGGACACTCCATGGGAATTTTAACATGGTCACCATGATAGTGAATGTAACCCAGTTTTGGGTTTCTGAGCAAAGGTGTAGAGGATAGGATGTGTTACAGACCTCTAGTATTCACTGGGGATGAAGCATAACCGTTTCCCAAGGGAATCTTTTTTCCAGACCTAGCTCTGAAGTACATTACTCACGTGTTTTTTTTTTTTTTAAATGATATTCCATAATGTGATGGATGTATTTCTCAAAAATAATTTTGATTAAATATAGAAGAAAATCCCTGAAGGCTTTTTCCTATATAAACCTGTAGTGCAGATTGAGGGCAGAATCCAGTGCATATACAGAGTGTTATGCAGCAAAACATACGAATTGTTGAATGTAACCCTGTAAAATTAATTACAGTGTTAGAATTGGAATGTTCAAGGGAAATATTCCTCTCTGCTCTGAAATTTAGAATAAAAAAAAGAAAGAAAGACAAATGAAGTCTTCTTGCCTTGATTCTTAAGACCAAGATTTTTTTTCTCTGAAATACAAATCAGCTTCTATTATCTTACTTTATCCATTCTGCTTACCTCTATCTCAGAAGGAAAACAAGGTAAACTTGACTAAATAAGTGCTGACAAGATTCACTTTAGAGTGATTATATAAATGTATTCTGCAGCTACTTAAAATTCATATTTCAGGCTCTAGTTACATATACTTAAGATATGGATAAATTCCACCAGGCAAAAAGACAGAAAATTGAAAGGAAAAAAAAAGACAAGGGAACCAAGTCAGTAAAAACATTTTAATTACACCCCAAGCCAAAGGAACATTAAAGTTAAGGGAAAGCCTGGAAAAGAAGACATTTTTATGGAAGCATATGATTTTAGATCAAGTATAAAATAAGACAGTTATAACATAACCATAATATATTGAAAAGGGTGGAACATGAAGGTGTATTATCATCATGACCAGTTATAAATAAATCAGTTGTTCATTATTTCCATTGAGAGAACAAACTGATGGCAACATCTATTCAACATGTGAATGATTCATTTAATAGCTTTTCATGCCTCGTTTCTGACACTTTTTTTGGGAGGCTAAAAATACTGAAGTGATTGAAATACACTGTGCTAGAGTGACTTGTACATAATTTGTTACTAACTGGTACTTTTATTTCTAAATGATTTTTTTCACTTCATAATGAAATAGCTTAAATACTAGTTCTTCAGGATTTGCTGTGGTGAGAAACTTACTATTGGAATTTCCTAATCAGTGACAGGTAAATTAGATTGATACTTTGCATGTATTAAATTATAGTGGTATCCTGGGGAGACTGGTGTGTTGTCTGTGATACCATGACTCTGGAGAGAAATGGGAATATCCTGTAGAGGATTTCTTTTTATCTTGCCATCTATTATAATAATATTATGTTAAGTATATGGAATATACTCCAATAGATAACTTTCTAACACATATTGGTTTAATGAAAATAATCTTGAGATATTTTAATTTTTTAGCAATTGTCCCTAACAAACTTCTGGACCTTTCATAGAATGCCACACATAAACAGTCATTTAAAACCAAGACCTTCATTATTCAAGGGATTTGTGAAGGTCCTAAATTGAGCCACAGGCAAAGAGCTGTTTTTATGAGAAATGTCAAAGGATTTTTTAAAAGAGGAGTTTAGGCCTTATGTGAATTTTCTTAACCTCTAGTATATTCAATCTATTGAAAAAAAGAAAGACTTACTTTGGAATCTAGGTTTGATTGTCAGGTCTGGCACTGAGTGAAATGTAATCTTATTTATGTTATTTGGTGAGCTATTAGCACTCTATAATATTGTATAATTGGACATTTCATTTTTCAAGATAAATTAATGTAAGCTTTTCCTCTTCTAGTCTTATCACTCACATTGTGTTGGCACATATGTGTATGTCATATGCTATATAAAACTCAAACTGAGAAGGAAATACTGAAGAAGACATAAACGTGAAGAGGAGAGGAAGGGTAAAATAAGCAGAGTAATATATTATTCTCCCTGTGGTTGATTTAGGACCCTGAAACTATAACTGTTCTTCACTTACTCCCTCAGCAAGTTTGCCTGTGATCTGTCCTAATGGAATGGAGAAATTTAAGATGTATTTATTCCACTAATTCAAAGGAATGAAAACTTACTTAGGTTAAGTCTTCCCTCCTTAGAACTATCTCATTATAAGTGTAAGACCCTAATTTAATTTTTCATCTATTTCTTCCCTTTTCCTTATTTTCTTTTTTAAAAAATTATAACATATTTTCAAGGCAGGAGTTTTTGAGTAATTATAGCAAATGTGATATACACTGGGCAGTTCAACAAAAGTAATAAAATATGGCCTGTTGTCTTGTCATCATTAGCCTAAAATGTTTAATTATGCAGATGTTTTAACGAAAAAATCGTCACAGGTTCTTGCAAAGTAGGTGGGGTACAAACCTGGAAAGAAAGGTAGAGATCATCTAAGGTTTGTGTTTCAGCTATTGTTATACCTTATGAACCTGGAATTTTCAATCAGCAGATGGAGATTTAATAGTATTTTTCAAGCCTTTCTGGAGACTGTCCAATTGTCCAATTACTTGCCATCATCATTCCATCCTGCTCCCCTTGTAGTCCACTCAGGAGTGTAAATGTCAGTATTTCATGCTAATCTTAACAGTCCCAGAGCCCCATGAAATAAAAAGCATATTGATTTTTTTTTTTTGTAAACCAAGTGGAGTTTCCCAGACTAGATTTTGAGCCTCTTAATTGGAATACAGAACAATTGTGAAACTTAAAAAATCTAAAGGTTTAATTTATAGTCACTAACAAATTATAGACTCTTCACATATAAAAGATAAATTCAAAACATTCACATTGAGGATGTTTTGGATATTTAATAGAAGTAGTTGTGGTCTAATGAGTTCAGTTTTTACAGGCTCATTTACTACCACATAGCATGTACCACCCTGTAGAAAACTATCTAGAGTGAAAATTTATATTTTTGAGAAATAATTATTTGTATATAGTATACATTTTATATATTGGGTATTCTCATGGCTGCCTTTGCCATACTGCACACTCTTCATAATCCTCAAGAGTATTTTAGAATATTAGGCACAATTCCCTTGGCATTCATTAAAATAGCATTATTCATGATGACTTTCTTCGAGTTAATACTGATATGTTCTGAAATTCTAAAATTAAAATACATTCATTTTCTTTCTTTCTTTGTCTTTTTTTTTGAGACAGAGTCTCACTCTGTCACCCAGGCTGGAGTGCAGTGGTGCGATCTCGGCTCACTGCAAGCTCTGCCTCCTGGGTTCACGCCATTCTCCTGCCTCAGCCTCCCCAGTAACTGGGACTATAGGCACCCGCCACCATGCCCGGCTAATTTTTGTATTTTTAGTAGAGACAGGTTTTCACCATGTTGGCCAGGATGGTCTGGATCTCTTAACCTCATGATCTGCCTGCCTCCGACTCCCAAAGTGCTGGGATTACGGGCATGAGCCACCATGCCCAGCCTTCATTTTCTTAAGTAGGAAGATCAGAGAACTATGCCTTAAACTGGTTGCTGAATTCACTAATACTATTTTGGTTCATCTTAATGCGAAGTGCATTCTTGAAAATTTAAATAAAAAAGTGCCATGAGCACAAAATAAACATTGGAATCCTTTGAGAGTAATGGTATTCTCATAAAGAGAAGTGTTAAGGAAAGAAATACATATTTAAAGATGCAAAGAGTCAATGGTACCAAGCAACTTCCAAAACAACTGTGCTTATTGGTATATCAGGCAAATTCACCATCTTACTAATTTTTCCCTACTTTTAAATGAAACATTTTATAGTAATAGAACAAAAGACAAAAGAGTCTACATGAAACCTAATTCTCATTCATTTTCATATCAGTCTTATGCCATAACCTGTAGATGATAAAAATTTAAATTACACAATATACCCTTTCTACATGTTTTCACATATTCCTGAAGTTGGAATTGTCTTATAGGCTTTTTAACCCACATAGGTAGCATTTTAATGGACATTTTACAAATGAAACAAAACAGAAAACTTCTGACCGTACATTACATTTATTTATTAATTACTCTAAGTTTATTCAATAAAATTGCATATTTTTTATTTATCATGGAATAGCTAAATTAAATCCTTTTCATCTGAGGATTAATTTGAAAAGATTGTGGGAAGGGGTAATTTTTTCAAAATTTTATTTGACATATAGACTAGAAAAAACTGAGTAGCTATATGGGGAGAATACTAGACTCAGAAACTATTAGAGTCCTAGTTTTCTGGATGATAATACCCACAGACATCTAAAGACTTCTAAATTTTAGTTAGGAGCTGGATGTGGAGCCTGTAGGACAGACCTGGGTTTTATAAATGGCAAACCTAAAGTTTCTCAAATAGCATTTACTCTGTGATGCCTTTTCTGATTTGCAGTAAACCCGATCATTTCACAGTATCATGTGCAGACTTCATTTTTAGAAATATCACATTGAGTCACAATAACTTATTCACTATAAGCATCGATCACTGTGTCTCACATCACAGTAACTGGAATACCGTAATACAAATGAATAAATGCTTATTTTATTGATTAGAATTAAAAATATCAAAATATCATATTAAATTAAATGTATATTAAATGTAAAATATAGAGAAGACAAGACACATTGAACAAATACCCATGAATGAAAATTGTACCTCCCAAATAAACACAGAGATAACCGTAAATTAATAGTCCAAGTGATGAGCAGAGTTTGATGAAGAGAATATTTCTCCACTTGAAAAATTCAAAAAACTAAAGTAGCTTCTTATGCATCATGTTTCAGATTATAAATATATATATTTGACTATATTTTTTAAATGACAACTTTACTGACAATTATTTGTACTTTTAAGGCAGAAATATTTCTGCATATTCCTAAATGTCAGTGCATTCATAAACTAAAAATACTTCACTCTAGTGAAAAATAATTCTAAGTAAATGTACATTCTAGTACTGGTCTGTTTGCTATTGTTGCAGGACTTTTCCTTATTTCAGCTAAAGATAGGCCTCTTGTCCCATGGCCACGAAAATTCAGGTTCACAGACAATTTGAATGGTGAGTAAGACAGCGTTTTATTGGTTGAAAAGAAAGAAAAGGGGGAAACAGGGACTCTCCGCAAGGGCAGAGTCCCTGCTAGAGCACTTCCTGCTTAGCCACTTGAATCCCAGGTTCCACACAGGAAGAGGAGGGGGCAGGCTCTTCCTTGCTGCAAATGGACTAGAACCTGTGTGTGAGTCCACCCAAGTGCACATTCCCAGTGTGCAGACTGGTTGGAGTTTTGTCAGGGACCCCTCACACCTGGCTGTCTCACTATCAACTAAATGATTTTGATCATGGTCTTTAATAATATTCTACTGTAGTTTGTTTGTAAAATATAGCAATCAAAAATGATTTTTATTTTTACTCTTTGAAATAAAAATTCTGGTTAATATTCACCAGTACTGACATAAAGACTAAAAAAGTTGAAAAAAAGAAAGTCAATCAAGCTAAAGGATGTGTTTTCATTTGTGCCAAACAGTAGTTTGACGGAGGATGTTACAATTACTAGCTTTTAAAAAGTTGTTTGATGTAATTCACATAATTATTTGAAATTAATACCATTTCCTGGATCTGTCTTCAAAATGGTTTATGAACATTTTATTGAAACTGACATAACATTTTAAACAAAGGATTAATATGCTTTTCCCCCACCCCAAATAAGATAAAATAGAAATGTAAAGAGAATCAGAGTTCAGAAAAATTTGGGAAATATTTATGCCTGCCTAGAAAAGCCAAGAGATTTACTGTGGTGAGAGTAAAATTTGGCTCTGAACTTTTAGGCAATCAGGACAAAAATTGAGCCTGGTCTTTTTCTTCCAGAGAAGCATGAATCTAACAAATCCTATTGGAATAATAGATGTCAGTAAATAAAAATATAATATTCTCCCTTCACTGCCCTCCCATCTTTGTCTGGCCCATCTGAATACTGCTAGTTTTAAGTTCTATGTCATTTATCACTTTTGCCTTGAGATATTCCCAACAACCTTATTAACTTTGATTTTATCTTCTCCTAACTGCTGTTTACAATTGCAGGTATTAAACTTAGTTCTTGAATTTTATTTCTGTTGAATATGGATGTCTTTTCTCTTTGCTAAGACTGTAAGTCCATTGGGGACAAGGGACTATATCATACACTCATGTATCTCTAAAATTTTCTTACCTTCCAATGGGCATATATTAGGTATGTAATAAACACATCAATTATATTGAAAAAAAAATGTCTCAGTGATAGCCTTAAATAGGTAGAATTTTGAACTTAACATTGGGGTCCATAGAGTGGTCCTTAAATGAGCAGTTAGAGGGGTCAGTTTTTCAATAGATCGGTCAACTGGATTTGAATCCTTGTTGCACAATTTACTAGCTATATGTTATATAATTGCTCTGTGCATCAGTTTCTTATCTTCCTCAGGGAAAAACAATAGTATCTACTTCATAGGATTATTATTAATTGTTTTTCATATTAATGTTGACTGAATGAATGAATACACATAAAATGCTTAGAAAAGTAAACATTCAGTAAGTGTTAGTTGTTATGTTGTCTTAAAGTGCTTGGCACTAAGCCGTTCTTTCTGAAAATAAATAGTCATTCTTTGTGGTAATTACAGAACACAATCAGTTGTCTGAACTCTGTCCTCAGAAAGCGAAAGTATATGACAACAAAACCATGTTTTCATTACAGACAATAATATTTATATTATCAGTGGCAGGAAAGCATGCAGTTATCTGAAAATTATATCAGATTATTAAGTTAAAAAGAAGTGGCCCTAAACTACATTTCAGTTTTATATTACATAAAATGTTTGTATGTTAGAAACTCTTCTTCCAATCCACCTGTGGTAGTACCAATGTGCCATATCAAGTTCACATGTTTTATCCCGTAACTTGATCCAAAGGCAAGGGAAAAGCTGATAAGGGCTACAACCCCAATTATGTAATTCTTCCACAAAATGATGAAGTGTAACAAGGGTTCATTGTTAAATAGCTGTGTGTTAAAGCCAGTGTTGGCTCAAGAAATTCAGGTTTGAAGTTTGTTAAAGAGGAAACTGGCAGGGAGTTTTGAAGGACGTCCGTTAACTGAACTTAAGTTTCCATCGCATCCAAAGGCAAAAAAATGTTGACATCACAAGGATCTCAAGCTTTTCTCCAGATAGCATGTAAGTTCAGAGATGTTCAGCGTCTTTCCCTAGACCTCTCTGGTGTTAAGTGTAGTCAGACTAGAGCTGGTGTGGGCTTTCGGGCTTTTGCCTCAAGGCAATATTTTTCCTATTTTATAAATTTATATAAAATAAGACCTGTAGCGAGGACTTTAAAGATAATATTTCCAGCTCCCCACTATGGTGGTCATTCCACTCTGATAATTGCCTTATGATAGAACAGAAAAACAGCGGTGACCAATCTTTCACCACATTTTCATCAGACTGTTTAGGGCATTGTATTTATGGATCTGTAATTGAAAGCAAATATATCATTGATACAAAACAGCAAGGACAGATGGAGTACATTTAAAATTACAATTCATTTCTCAACATCAGATTTTGACTAGGTGTATGTGAATTAATGTAATTACTCATATGGTTGAAGCAGCAATTCACAGTTTATAATTTTGGACTATTTCAAATTTGACCTTGGAAAGATCATGTAGCATTTAGTTTAAATCTTTTTCTCTATCTATTCAGTTTCTCTCTAGAGAAATAATAGAAATAGTTCTTGGACTAATTTTTATTCTTAATAGTCTCTCTTTTGGTAGAATTCCATCTATCTATCTATCTATCTATCTATTATCTAATATGTATTGCCACCACAAATACCACATTCCTCTTATATCCCCAATATCCACGTTAGCCTTTATGATGACACTTGTTGGCATAAATGTTATTGTAAATTTTAATAATGGGTCTTAGTTTTTAAAATTACTTGCAGATTATTTAATAATAAATCACATTCCCTTCACTTACCTTGGTATGTGTAATTTTTGTCTTCTTTGTTGCCTTTCACCACATCTTCAACCCACATAACAGGAGCATCTTTGTTGTCCACAATCAGAATTATTCTACATATTTCAGATAACATTTCTGTATGGTGGTAATGGTGCCAGAATGAGAAGACACAATGATATTAGATCCAGGGTGCTAGAATTTCTTTCTTTGCTGAATTTATTGTTTTAAACTTATAGCCTAATTTTTATCACAGTTATAGATGTGACCATTTTTAGTAGGAGGCGTGACTTAGAGAGTGCTTTACTGGCTCTTGAATGCTATATGTATTATGGAAGTATGTTTTTCATGGATGCTACATGTTCAGATCCTGTGATGGAGTAAAATGCTAATGTAGTTAAACCAATGAGATTACTTGCACTTGTGGAGTTCAGGAAGAGATAGAAGAGATAACTCAGAGGTTTAATAAAAAGCTCCTGAGGCACTAATGGAGTCGAGAGACTAAGAATCATTTGTGAATAGCTGAGACTGAGGAAGATGTTTTTCAAGATGTGAGTTTAAAAATAAATTTCAACAAATAATTTTATTTGTCCATCTCCACATAGTAATGAAACAAGGAAATGATATTTATTTTATATTTAAACTACATATTACATTCTGAGTAGGACACGTAGAGTCTGCCTTGTTATAAAGGTTATCTTTCAGCCTCCTTTGATGTAGTATGCTTCCAGATCCCATATCATCTGTGTAAGTTACAATACTCCTATAAGGAGTATTGCCATTTAAAATAATTCACAAGAAATGTTCTGTAGCCCAAGTCATATCATTGCCAGTTACAGTTTGTGACTGTAGATTATTGGTGTTTTTCTCCACTTTGTCATTTGCAGTTGGTGACTTTATTGATCATTTATCCATATAGTTTTGGCTAAAATTTGCAACCTCCCCTCTTTTTTTTTTTTGGCCAGTTGAAGGTTATATTATTGATATTTCTTTATCATATTTTGGCTGTAAATTTATAAAGAACTGAGGTGATTGGAAATAAAAATATGACATCAATATTCAGGGGTATTTATGTTTTGAAGAATTTTTTTTTCAAATGTCTACTCCTTTTAGGAAACCATGTATAAAACTTAAAGAAAATATTGGGTGTTTTTTTCCATTAGGCTGCTGGTTTAGGATATTGAAGGAAGTCTCTACACAGTGTAAGATAATTTTTCTATTTGGAAATAGAAAGGCAAATACTTTTTCTGCTGTGTTCAACACCCCCCATTAAAATATATAAGCCTTGTTATATTGATTATAATCTCTTCTCACTTTTGAAAATGTGCTATCGGGGGTAGGAGCACATCCTTAGAGCCTAACAAATCTAAATCTGAATCTCCAGCTCCACTGTGTGAGTCTTGGCAAGTTATTTAATTACTATGAGCCTTATTTTCCTTTCTTTAAAATAGTGGTTATACTTCTCTGCTAAAATGCTTTAAAAATGAGACAAGGAGGACATAGTGCCTGATACATCATAAATTACTTCCTGCCTCTCTCCCCACATCCAGCTTTTCAGTCGTTATATTCATGGGTACAACTAACAAGTAACTAACCCAGCTGCCTTAAGACTGTTTTCAGATATGCCTCTTGAAAGAGTTAATGGGGAATAAAATCTATAAACAACAGTCTGTCAGGAAGCAACCTGAGCATTTTATGTATAGTTGTCTTTTGGTATGCTTTCCTCAGTCAAGAAAAATGTTCAGTCAGGCTTAGAAAACTAGATTCACATTGATATGGGAAAGCACAAGAATTCACAATTTTATATTAGAATAGAAAGCAATTGAATGACTTGGGAAAAGTAAATTCATTTGAGCAATATTTTTCAAAACTTAGCATGCATTAGTATCACCTCAGTCATGTCTTAATGCACATTTTGGGATCCATCCCAGTGATTCTGATTCAGTAAATCTAGTATTGACACAAGGGATTTGGAGTCATCTTGACCTCTTACTAGTAACTTCAAGGATATAATAAGTGACAAAGTTTAAACAAATAAAATTATTTGTCAACTTTATCCATCCATGTTGTCTTACCACTATTTTCCACATTAGTCCAGATAAAGTCAGTAAGTGGAAATGACTGAAACTGCTCATATTGACCAACTCAAAACCTGGAGTCAGAGTGCCATTTCCTGTAGGCTGAGGCAAAGACTGTCTTGCAGAACCTTTAAACCATGCAGTACAAGTGTGCTGCATTATAACAACGCAAGGCATATGGAAATCAATTTTAAAAAGATAAATTAGTGGGTAATATTTTAGATTAGAAAACAATTTCAAGGTTCCTTTATCACAAGGTCTCTTGATACATTTGAAATATTATTTGATTTACACAAAACAAATTTTCACTCACCTTTTCAGAAAGACAAATATCATATAACACGAATTTATAAATGAGAGCTAGGAGGAAGAAACGTAGTAGCCTAAGTCCTAGATGGCTGAGGCACTCTGCTGCTGTAAGATCACTGTCCTTCATAGAATAAAAAAATCAACAGTGGACCTTTTAAAACGTGAATTTTACCCTAAAGAAATTAAATATAAGTTGCCTCCCATCTCACAATAAAACTGTAATACAAGTCATGAGAGACCTTCAAAAAAGACCCACCACCACTTTGATGTGTGTGTGTGTTTGCTTGGTTTTAAATTTTCAAATGTTTCTTTCCCATTAATATTGATGATAAAATGAAGCCCAATTGTTGATTGTCCAGGTACCCTACCTTTGGGACAAATCAGAATTTTGAAAGCATTGCTCCTGGGTCCTTTGCACTTGGCACCTCCCTATTTAGGGACAGTTGGGGAAAATTGGGAAGGTCATGGGAGGAGTTGGAAGCTCTTCCTTATTGCAAGACCAATTCATCTGCACCTTGAGACTTTTTGATGAATTAGGAGATTGTTATATTACCCAACATTATAAACTGTTAAGAGCTGTGCCAATATAAGATGCTACTATATCTATTCTGGAAAATTTTCACCTTTTCTCCTGAGACCAAATACTTGCCAGTCCCATAACCTCTTCTTTTGTGTGCTCTGACATACCCAGAACATCTGCATTTCTTTCATACAGCTTAATAACAACAATTCACATCAGGTATTGGTTTTCATGCATTCAGTTTCTTATTTTGAATGTTTAGTTTGAGAGATGATATCTGTCTTCCAGTGAGGAACAATCAAAAACAAATATATTTTTACTCTCATATACAATAGTTTTATTTTAGAAAATATTTTTGCAAAAAGATTTTACTATTTCTAAGCAGTCTATGGAGTCAGAGAGATCTGAGTTCAAATTAGGATTATGTGATTAGTCTTGAGTGTTAAATTTGGAAATGTTTTCTTTCCTTGTAAAAATGTAATTTGTATTAAAAATCTGTATAGTTTCATGGTTTTCTAAAACATTCAGGAGGGACTAGAAATAGAGACTTGACAAAAATGAGTTGATCAGTAAAATATATTATTTGCAAGTTAGCATATGTTTTAGGTTCTATACATCAATTTGGATAAATTATATTTTATTTTTCTTATAAGGAGAATAGAGAAAGTTGTTCTCTATTATTACAAGTTAAAAAAAATTCATGGTTTAAGAAGAAATCTTGCCAAAAGCAAAAAAGAAAAAGAATTTTATATGTCTTCCCAATTAGCTCCGAATTGAACCTGTGTTCAGTTGACAAAGTATTGAGCATGTGTTCAACCCTGTACTATGGATCTCTTTTATACTTATGCAGTCTCAATTTAGAAGGTCTTTAGGTTTTTCCTTGGGGTTTCTTTCCTTGTGCTTCCTTGATTTTATGTCTGTACTTTGGGGCCTACATGCATCCACATCTTGGGAGCATCTGTTCTGTACATTTACAAATGAACTTGTATGTTAAGAAATATGTGACTTGTTAAACTTTTTGAACAGAGTTTTAATGTGAGAGCCCATAGTAGAACACAGAAATAATTCAGTTAGCTAATATTTTACAGATGGAGAATGGAATTAAAGTAGGGATTACTAAACAACATGTCAAAAAATACATATATATATATATGTATTTTTTTTTCTTTCATTCTATCCATTATCTCTGGAAGTTCTCTGGCTCTGATCAGAGAAAGAAAGCTTTTAGTATAGTGGAAAGACTAACAGCCTGTAAATTTTGAGAATAATTCAACTGCACCAATTATTAGCCCTGTGTTTTGGGGTGAGGGCTCAACTTCTTTGAGATTAATGTGTCTTCATAGGGTTGTTATGAAGACAAAATGAGATAATTTATGTAAAATGTGATGTGTAAACTTCAAAACACTGTATAACTTTATGGTTTGCTGCAGCTGCTGGTTGTTATTGTAACCATGCTGAGTCAACCTCTCCATTTTTCAACTCCAAGCATAAGTAAACATTTCAGTTGTTTAAATCGGTGAGGAATAGACAGGAAGGGAGACATAGGAATGGGGGGTAGAAGGAGGAAATGGAAGATTATTGAATGCTGAAAAAGGTAGATTAGAAATGCAAGTTTTAGACAAAAACTGAAATAAATTGGAAATATGTGATAAAGATTCCAGACACAATCTTTCTATCAGATTGTCACCACCCTCACCCTTAACCTGGACATGGCAGAATAAAAATTAAGCAAAAATAATAATAATAATCCAGCATTTTTGTCTTGTTAAATACCCTTTTGGTTGAATTTAAAGATGAGAAGTCTCAAAATTCCTGGCTTGTTTGGTGTAGCTTAGGGCCTTGGTTGCACAGAGCTGTGGTTCCAAGGATTGCTTCTATTTATAGTGTTTCACTTTAGATGAACGTAAAATATTTAAGAAAGAAAGTGGTTTCCTTCAGGAAATCAAGGGCATACACTTGTAAGACTCCTTGGAAACTTTACATTTCTAAAAATCATTATCAATTTGAATGTTTCTAGAAATAGGTTTATTAGTAGATAAACCTATTTATTAACAAATATGTTAATTTGTGCTTGTTTACACAAATTAATTCTTCCTTTTCTATCTTTGCAAGGACAACTTCTAATGAGAAAGCTTGCAAATGACATTTTGGTTTACATAATAAATAAAATTTTGCGTTTGATTTTAGACTCACAAATTATAGCTTTATAACCCTTTATAAATTTGCTAACGACGTAAAGCCAAATTTCAATGTAGAAAATTAAGAACACTCTAAGAATAATACATTGCAAGGAAATTAGAAAATGGAAAACATAAAGATTAAAATTAGATTTAAAATGACAAAAATTTTTGAATAGCAAATAATTTATGCAAAATATGTTACAAAATCTGGGATGCTAAATAGTTGACACAAGTACTGTGTTTGACATTTAGTTTCATTTGAATTAGTAATAGAATTTGCTTCTTCCAACATTTACATCTTTTTTTCTTTCTGACTTTATATATTTTCCACAAAAATTTGCTCCACAGTTTTTGAGTTCATTCTTCTTGAAGCTGCTTTTAAATTTGCTGTGACAAACCTGCATAAAACTAGATTTTGTAGATATAATTTCTTTGGAAGAGATAAAAATTTAAAAGTTTGATGTTGTTTTCAGTTATTCTTTTCTTCATTGTTTTCATTGACCCCTGTTAGATTGATATGCCAATCTACTTTTGATGGCATGAATATAAAATGACAACATAAAAGCACTTCTAGTGCAACAGTAATTGAAACTTGCAGTTTTCCATTTAAAAAAAAAACACAAGAATGCCTGATTACTATTGATAACGTAACAATATTTTCAAACAATAACCTATGTCAAGCAAACAGCACAAACAAGTTGATTATTTCAGCTTCTCAAAACTCAGGTTTTCTTAATTTGATTTGAGTTAACTTTATAATACAATCGTGTAATCAATATGTGATCTGGGCTGGTGTCAAATTACTCTGAGTTATTTCTTTGATAATTTGGAGGTGACTCCCATTATGGATAGCAATATAAACAATTTAGAACATACTAAGGATGTTTACAGTCTACTCGAGTGATAAAGTTCTGCACCGTGGCTCATATCAATATTGAACGAGCTGTACATGTTAAAAATTCTTCCTCAGGAGAGAAATGATGTAGTGCACAATGCAAAAAAAAATTCATATGTTTCCTTTGAAATGTTTCCAAAATACTGGTCTCATGGTTCTAAATAAAAAGTTGTCTTAAGAACCAGGCACATTTTGCACTGACTGATGGTTACTTTTAGGCAAATGGCTATGGGTTAATTAGGAGAAAAATTGCTACTGTACAATTATTATGCACTATACTCCCACCTTGGCCTGAAAATAATGAGATGTAACAAAAGTTTTTATTTGTCACTGGTAGCTGCACCTTTTAACTGTATCACAAAGTCTGTTGCTGTGGTTACAGCCTTTGTTTCCAGTGATGTTTTGTCCATGCTTCCCCCCAACCCTTAACAATGGTTACTCAAAAGAATGAAATAATGAATCATTCATTCGGAAATATGTTAAAATATCCCTCTTTATCATTACATTTCACTGCTTAGAAACTAGGCTGTAATTCAAGGCAACAGTTAAGTCTGAGAACTGTTAAAAAAATCTTTGATTTTTTTTTTTTCATTTTTAAGAAAAACCTGTCTATGTAATTGAAGAACCTCTTACAAGTCTGAACAATTAAATCCTTTTTGGTTAATGTATTATTTCTGGAACAAGTAGATAAAATTCTACGCAGTAAGCATAATAAAAATCGTGCATGTTTCCCACAGCACAGAATTTTAGAGTCAAGGTTTCTGGGCACAAAAGCAGTAACAAAACAGTCCCTACAAAACTGAGTAACTCTGAATAACACAAGAAATAATTTTTGTTAATTTAAAATTTTAGAAACTGAAATGTGTAAAGTTTTTAAAGTAAAATGTAATTAAATTATGGTACTGTACATACCAGTTGTTTCTACAATTGAAACTTTACAATATGAAAAATACATTAGCTTTGTACAGTTTTTACAGGTAGGTAGGATGAGTTTTGAAAAAAAGATTCTTTTATTTTTCAGGGTCATACTCTGTTTAAGTCAAAAAATACTGCACAACTTAGCTAATTACAAAGTGTAGACTTAAAACAATTCATGTCTTCTTTATTTCATGAATCAATCTTGGATTTTTTGTTAATTTGAACAGGGGATTTTGTGTTTTGCTTTGTTTTTAGAGTCCACAATGAACACATCTTCCTCATTTTGTCCTTGAGGTTACAAAGTTTGGTAGCAACCCTGGGCTACCAGTGATCTCAGTTAAGCTAGCTGCTGTTTATGGTCACTGATTCGGCCAGCTGTTGTGATTGTGCTCAGGTCCAGCTCAGTCTCTAGGTGTGTTTCCATCGTATCTTCCTGTGCATTCGTTTCAAAGGACTTATGGGAGAGAAGTTCATGATGCACCCCACAGTAACTTATTGTGGGCTGGTCGTATGCCAGAAAGGTTGACACATTCATTGATAAAGGTATCTGGGGAAAAATGACATGAGAAAAGTCAGTTACATGACAGAGAAAAGATAGACAACTTTAGGGGAAAGATTTAGAGACTGAAGTGCTGACCTGACTAACCTCCATGGTTATATCTGTGGCCCTGTGGCCCAGGTGTCCCCACATTATCCCGCTAATGCCCCCCATTCTCATATAGTGAGATCAGTGCGACAGTTTTAAATCCTGGGATGAAACTGCTTAATTCTTTACTAGAAGATTCAGATAAATAGTAGCCTACACGGTTCTGAAAATGATAAAAGATTTATTGGAACAGCCAGAAAATTGCTTTCCCTAACTGGAAAACATTGTGTTTTTACTATTATTATTGTTATTATTAGTGTTAATTATCCTATTATTTGGTTAGGATACAATAGAACAAGAGTGATTCTCAAACTTTAGCATTCATGAAAATCACCACCCACTTCTTTAATTAGTCAACCCCTTGCCACCCAAGATTCTCATCCAGTAGGTCTGGGATAGGTCCTGGAATCCGCATTTCTTACAAGTTCCTTTATGATGCTGGACTATTAATCCACACACTACGTTTCGATAACCTTTGCAGAAGAGAATTATCTAGACAAGTCATTCTGGCTATTCTTACCCATAACTTCTTAATATTTATTTTACCATAAAATTCCTTAAAATATTAATGTCTGTAGTTTGGTCCATGTATCTAAAATTTAGATGAGTTTAGAGAATTCCCAGGAAAAATCTATGGTTCCTATGAGGGTCTAAAAAGCATCAAAGGATGATGCTAGTTTGAAGGAACCACCTGTATCTATGAGGAAGGGACTCCCTTGCCAATTAAAGAAAGCAAGTTCTAAAGGTGAGGGAAAAAGCAAGCATGACCAGGGTGAGAAGAAGCGAAACATACATGTTACAGACAAAGGAGAGCCTGAAATGTAATCAGATGTCAAAGTCTAGAGATATTTCCCATTTCTTTTTCAGTAAGATAAAACCTTGTCCTAAAAAGTAGCCAGATTTCAGGAACCTTCAGTCTTGATCTTGGTTTAATATCCTAATTACTAATTCACGCTGTTTAATTCTCTGGAGGATAAAAACTTCTGCCATTCTTGTTTGGTGAACAGATAGAATGCATATTTGTTTGAGCACATCAGACTAAATTCCTTTCTGATCTCAGCTGAGATTAGAGCCCAAAGCTAAGAAAAATAGAAGGCCTAGGTATTATTCTTTTATTAACTGCATCTTTACATTTTTCCCCCTCCTCTCCATGCATTAGAACCATCTTTGCCACTTCTGTTTCCATCCCTACAGTTCTACTTACATTTATTTCTGCTTCAGTGAAAATTCCTGGAGCAAATATTACCTTTTATCTCTTTAATAGAAGTAATCAAAAAATAAAAAATAAAACTAATCACTTCTTTTAAGATTATTTGCTTATAATATGAATATTTCAGCATGTCAAATATATGGAGCTTAGTTCTTAGAGAGAGAAATATAATCCAGTTCATTAAATGAAATTCCTGAGTAACTCTTCCTTTTTGTGTGGATTTTAAAGATTTAAAACATGAAGTTATCTGATGCGGGAATGAAAGATATCATACACTTTTAAAAATGGTCAAGCCGACTGAAAAATCCTAAAGAAAATGCTTAAGAGTAAAATAGGATACTTCCATTTAAAATATATAAGAATCTTGTTGTCACAGATGAAATAGCCCAGACAACTAAAATACATTTTTATGTAAAAGTAAAGGTGCAGCATGAATAGATTTGAGTTATCAAAGAGAACAAAAATAGAACTGTTACTGGGTACATGAGTTTTACATTTTCCTCTGGGAAATCACTGCTCTGTAATGTGTTATGGGTCATATATCTATAGGATTTTATATACTTGTTCTTATTTGTCACGGAAACTTATGCCTCATATATGCAGAATCATTTCTGGCTTACCTGGAATTAACTCTACTGTGAATAATTTGTAATTTCTATGGTCATGATTTATGAAAAATAATAAACCATGATACATTTATTCTGTGTGTGTGTGTTTGTGTGTGCACACACAATTTCCTGCTTGATTTAACATATAGAGGCTACTGGTATACAGAGTGCAAGTCCTAATTTGAACCATTATCAATTAAATAGTTAGCTCCGATTATCTGTTTTAAAAATCCCATATATTATTTTCTTTAGTGAGTTTTTTACTGTTGGATATGTCTTATTTTGAAATACCTTATACTATGATTATACTGTTTCAATATAAATACATATTTTTTCACATTTTAATATTTCTGAAATTAGGATGGAACTTATAAGCAATGTGAATGTTTAACATATATCATTTCCCTGTAATTGACAGTGCATTTTAAAGTTGATTCTATCTTATTAACAATAAAATAACGTAGTAAGATGTATCAGTAAGTAGAATGTAACAGCTAGCCATATCTGAATACAGCATCACAGTAGATTTTTCCCAGGTTGACCTAAATGATTTTGAAAATCTAAGAGAGTTGCATTGGATATATACCCATGTGTATATATAGGGGTACACACATACGGAGATATATATATAATATATAAACATGTATGTATATACACATGTATAAACTTATAGCCAATTACGGTTTCAAAATCATTTAAATCAGGTATGGAAAATGCAGATTTTGGTGACACATCGGTTTTGGACCACTTTTACGTACTCATGACATCTATATAAGATTCATGTAAATATAGTGTACATACCTATGGATATATACATGATATGGTATATGTATGCACATGTGTGTACATTTACTCATAAATTTTTCAAATTGTGTTCAGGTAAGTCTATTGAATTATGAATATTTTGCACTGACAATTTTACTGGAATGACAAGATAATTTTTAAATATATAAAATATTTGGTTAAATTTAAGTCATTTCTTTCTCAATTTTTAATTTCTAAGTATTTTATACAGATGTGGTACAAGGAATATTTGTTCTTTTGTGGCTAATCAGATGGGTAAAAATTATTAAAGCTGTATGATATATGAGGCACCATGCTTGACAATATGAAGAACCTAAATATCAGTGGAAGGACCAAGTGATATAGGTATAGAATATGGTCAGTAATTTTCTTTTTAATTATATACTGTTCCCAGCAGTTACTATATAATTCACTAGATATTTACATTAAATACAATTGCTATCATGTATTTTAAAATATGTAGTATGAAAATAAATTTTACTTAAATTTAAAAGACCTAGTTCACTGTTTAATGAGATGACGCTAAAAGGCTATGCTATCTGGAAATACTTATTTCGTTAGAATATCCATGTAGCACAGAAATTGTGTGTAATTTTTAAGCAATATATAGTTTGTTTTTATAACATTGATTACACAAAATATAATGATTCCTAAATGTAATAAAAATAAATAGTCTTTATTATCTAAATTTGTATGGGAGGGATATTTTTGCTTCTAATTATTAATAATGAGAAAATTACTTCTTTGTCAAAGCAAGTCTTCCTCATGAAAAATATTACATATGTTGTTTGTAATATCTTTTCTTCTCTATATCAACATCATATGTTGATTACTTTCTCAGTGTAGGGTATTAGATTTTTACATGTTAATTCAAGTAGGAAGTCAGATGCTAAGTGTGCAACACATTTTCTCCTCGAGTAGCAGTGCACTACATGCTGCCTGACATCACGGTATTGCCTTAAGAGTATTCTTTGGTTCTTCCATGAAGAGATTATTTGTCCCTTTCAAATTATAGTCAGTTGTTTGAGAATATGGCAAATCACAATTTGTGATAGTACCATAATTTGAAAAAGGACTGTGACTAGGATGAAACCTATTTATGTTTCAAGTAAACTAAATCTACAATTATAAGAAACTAAAATCATGGTATTTTTCACACCAGGGTAAATACTTGATGCAGAGGTTTGGGCAACAACTGTGAATTCAGCAATCTTTTGTGGGGGGAGTTTCAGTTTTGTTGGGAGGGTATGTCCTTGCACCAAAAAATGACTGGTGGCTGGGTACTAATGGAGAGGCTACCAGCTGGCATTAAAAAAACAAATCTGTTTGATTCAAACATGTAGATCCCTTCCTGTCACTAACTCACAGTAAATTCCATTCTCTTCACATAACCATCAAGTGACTTTGGGTCCTTTTTTCTTTTCTGTTTTTCACATTAACCTTCTCTCTCTCTCTCTGTCTCTCTCTCTCTCTCTGTCTCTACCTCTATTTCTTTCTCCATTTTTACCCCATTTTTATTAACATGCTCCCTCCTGCGATTAGGGTGTTCAACAGTACAGTCCCCATTTATGCTTATCATCCCATTTTGACAATAAATGACTCAGTCAGCCTACCTGAGCAATGTATCCAAATACATTATTTCATAAAATAAACAGTTACCCTAGGTGTCTGAACTAGCTAGTTGGAATAGGCTCACGGAAGGGCAATAGGAGATTTAAATCTAATAAGGCATTGGCTTCCCCAGATCGTTTGTTAGAAGGCTCTATTTAACATGTCCATAAAATCTTCTTGTTATATCTTTCTGAGAATTAAGTTTCTTTCAGTGTATTTTAACCTGCTAAACTCCTATTTATCATTACTTCTGGTTTCTTTTAATCCTCTAAATCACTGTTTTCCAAGAAAGGTAATTATTCTTAAGGCTATGAATTGTGGAGATTCAGGGATATAAAATCTTACTGTCTAGAAAGCATTATCATGTATACTCTGAGCTAAGAAAATCACATTGTAATAATAAGCAGTAGTAGCTAATCCATTATTTAGGAAATTCCCTTAGGAAAAATTTCGATTGTGCTAAACTAGTAGTGTCTTGACATCAATGATATTTGCCCTAGCAGCAATTTCCCAGTGATGTGTGTCCAGTCTCATATCACTGTCTCATATCAACATCAATGCTATGTACCTTTCACATAAAAAGTATAAAGTTAGACGATTAAAAATAACTAATTACTAATGGTCTTTTCCCTATTCATATGTAATATTTGAGTTTGTGATTATAAAGG